AAATTAGACTTCACATGTAGGCATCAGTAAATTCAGAAAAAATCAGTAAATTCTTCTTGGTCCTTTGCTGAGCCACAAATGCACTCCCAGTCCCAGGCACAGACATCTTTCCACCAGAAAGGAGAATAGCAGCTGCAGAGCAAACACCTACGGGTTAAAGTAACTCAGATATGTGGTTTTGGAGCACATTCCTCAATTGCTGTAATTGCACCATTAGAATTAATGCTCAGACTCAAGTTTGACCCTGCAGTTAGCTGCTCTGCCTTCTTCCCCTCTCCATGTCAGCTCCCTGTCCCCACCCCAGCAGTCTCCATGGTCTCCTCCTCCCCCTCTGCTTTAGTGTCCATTCCACTTTTGAACCTGTTTGATTTTGCCCCTCTTCTTCTGCATTTCTGCCCATTCCAGGAACAGCACCTTGGCTGGATGGAGTCCTTTCAGCCCAAATGGAATTGAATTCAATGGTGTGAATTCAAGGGTTTTATGGAATAGATTCATAGTTATTTTACTTAATTAGTTGGTGTATTTTTGTGAATTGTTTTTAAATTTCAGGTCACACAAACAATTTAAGGTGAACTTACTGCCCATTAGGAGAATACTTAATAAGAATGCTTTGTTATTTGAAATATAAGAAATTTTCCAAAAGCAACATTGTCAGTCAAGAGAACTTTCTTTTAAAGTTTTAGAAAATTTGCTTTAATTCAGGACAGGGTGGAAGCTGCTGTAGATTGCTTTAATTGATTGTGATCACTGCTTGAATTGGCAGAGCAGGAAGTGTTATGATGATGAGAATTTGTCTTATTGTTGTGATAAGCTGTTACCAAAGTCTAATTACTGGGTGTGATGCTAAAATGTGTAAGCTGCCGACACTTAAAGATAAGGAGATGAAAAGAAACTAACTCATTCCAAATAGCTCTTCTGTTTGGGTTTTTTCATTATTATTGTTATTTTTGCGCACTCTCCTGAGTGGTGCTTTAGAGTGCATGGATTAAGTCATGGATTTGGCTGCAGATGCTGCCATCAAACTTCAGCTGTGGTTAAGTGAGTTTTAAGCACCAAGGGACTGAATAAAATAATGGTTAGTGAAAAGTGCTGACGAGGGATTCAGTTAATGGTTTGTGCATCTGTGGAGTGAATGGGTTGTTATTAGTTATTAATTCAGGTGCTGTAGGCAGGATCCAAGTATGATTGAGAGGAGGGTAAGGGGCAGAGGCCCAGTTCCCATAGGAATTGGACATGGGAATGTGCCACTCCTGCCACGCTGGCTGCTTCAGAGCTGGCATTTCCAGAGAAAAGTAGAATTTCCTGCACTCTTGTCCTGGAAATCTCCACTGTCTGGGGGACAGAGACATCCTGTTGGGGTCAGAATCCTGAGAAGTTTTGCAGAGCTTCACCTGAGCTCAGCACCCCGGGGAGCCCTGCCCTAACTGCTGTGCTGACTTCAGAAAACGTTTTGGGATCCTCTGGGATGACAGATGCTTGTGTATGCACATGTAACATGCTGTTAATAATTAGAGCTGATTGGATATTCAGTACAAATTACACTGGCTATGAAGTTAGCCCCTTCTTTGGGCTTACAAGTGGCTCACAAAACACTGTTAAAGCCTATTTTTAAATGTATGTTTCTTCATAAATATTGATAGATTTAATTTGAACGAATAATGTCAAGTCTGAGTGTTGTAAAACTCTTGCTGGGCTGTTCACTGTCAGTTGTTAATGGAGCATGTTTGGATTTCTGAGTCACAGTGTAAATATTTTCTATTTCCAATTTTGAGGATGAAACATGAGGTTTGATGATTATTTTTACCAGTCCCCCCTAATAGTGTGTCTGCTCCCACGCCCAAGCCCACATGCCATGTCTTCAAAAATAACTGCTTAGAGAAGAGAAATAGGGCTGACTGCATCCAGCAAACTTGAGGGAAAGATAGCATTTCCATTTTCTGTCATTTTCCATGTCACCTGGAAACTGGGTTGGAGCATTCTTTTAAAGATTTTCATCATAAGCTGGGTTATTTCCCCAACCTGTTTGTCCCTGTGGGAATCTGAAGGAAGAGCTCTGATTTTTTCGAATATTGACTCAAGCTTAATCTGCCTCCTGTGGTGAAAACAGAAAAGTTCAGCCCTGGTGGCTACATTCCCCATAAACCCCACACATGGAGAGCCATGCTCAGTTTCAAATTCTCATTTGCTCTTTTTATATGCTCATTTATATTTACAGGGATCCTCTAAGACAGCACACTGTCTTGGTAGAGACTAATTATTCACTAATGTTAGTACCAACAACCATGGCTGGTTTGAAAAATGACTCATGATTTTGGTGTAAGAAAACCTGAAATACTTTAGAGAAGCCTATTTTTCTGTTGAGGAACAGCTCTCTGTGGACTGGTAGGAACTCCAGCTTTGCTGTTGCTAGAGGAACTGAAGAGGAACAAAATTAAAGATGTAATAATACATTTCTCTGTAATTGGAGGAGGGATGGTGTCATCTGTGCTTTGCTCTTGTCCAGGGGAAATAAAACCCCTGCTATCAACATCTATATATCCCCTTCATCCTCTTTGTTGCATCCATCCTAAAGAATTTAACCAGTTAAACCAGACCCAAAATAACTTTTGCATAAAATAGTGATGTGCAGTGCTATAAATAAAAGTCATTTTCATGTGTATGGCACACACGTGGCTCTCTCTGCTTAGCAGTTAATATCCTTAGAAAACTTTTTTTCCTTCTGGAAAACCAAACAAAACACCAACCTAAAAAAAAACCCAAAAACCCAAAAATCCCAGAGTAGTGATATCCTTAGAAAACTTTTTTTCCTTCTGGAAAACCAAACAAAGCACCAACCTAAAAAAAAAACCCAAAAATCCCAGAGTAGTATTGTTCTTCATGAGAAATGCCAAAGAGGGTAGATGGGAGCAAGGTTAATTATCCTTTTTTTTGTTTTGGTTTTTTTTTTGGCCACCTACGTTGTATTTTCTCTTTGCACTCCCTCTCCCCCATTCCTCCTCTTTTTGTATAAAACAGTTCTGCAGTATGTAGAGCATAAGAATTATTTCTCTAGCAGAAACTGCAACCTGCTTGTGGAGCCTCCGTACCCATTAGAGGCTCTTTCCAGAAGCAGCAATTTCCTTCTCCCCATAAATTATGCATCAATGTACATTTAGGATTCTGAGATGATGAACAGAAGATGAAAGCGTTGCTGCTCCCGTGGAGCTGGATCCACGTCCTTGTGTACAGGCTGGAGCACACCTTGTTAAGGCAAACCTGCACGTGTTGCTGTCCTGCTCCTCCAGCTGTAACAGCACGGAGGTGGGAGCTGCTCTGCCTGCTTGGGGCTCAGCTCTGTGAGAAATACCTTTTCACCTCTCAGGAGGCAGTGAGGGGGATGATTGCTGGTGTTTCCTGAATGGTTTTCCCAGATGGACTCTGACACTGCAAGTCAGGGTGATTCCAGATCCTGATGGGTCCTGGTGATCCTCCTTCAAGGAGGAGCTGCTCCATGATCCTGCCAGGCTCAGAGGTGAGGCTGGCTGGCCTCTTCCTGGGTCCTCCATTGTTAAGAAAGGGATTTTGTTTTTGCTTTTGTAGTCACTGGGAATTTCACCAGGCTGCCACAACTCCTCAAATAGGGTGGAAATTGATGTAGCAACTCCATCCAGGTTCCCTGCAGATGCACCTCATCACTTCCCATGGACCTGTGCGCCTTCAGGTCACTCAGATGGTTTCAAACCTGATCTTCTCCTACAGTGGCTGAGAAAATATGTACTGAAAAATTGAAAAATAATGCTTTCAGGTTATATATAGCATGTGGAGATCAATGAAGAATGTAAATAAATATATGCTTTAGAGAAGAATTTTGCACTGTTGCCATAATTTAACTATATGAGAGGGCATCCTTTGTGTTATGGCATGTCAAAGGGCATAGGGAAAACTTTTATGTCTACCCTTGGAATCTGAAGATGGCAAATAAAAATTAACAGTAATTCCTGAAAGAAAAAGTTTTGGGTAGTTTTATATAAAACTGTTGTTTATAACAGGCCATTGTGTAATAGTTAGAAGATTCACCTTGCAATGGGTCTGAGTTCCTGTAATTCCCAGGGCTGCGGGAATAGATTCCAGACCTGAGGTTGCTGTGGAGATATTTAGGGCAAATCAAGCACTGCTGTGGTGTGGAGGTGAAGTGAAACAGGGCCTGTGAAATTCCTCTGTGCTGTTCTGGCATGAATGAACGTGCACTTATTCTGTGTTTCTTCCATGGCCACTTAAAATGGCAGGGAGGCAGCCCAAGCACTCTGCACTGTTTCCATCACAGCTGGATGAGCATGTATTGGCATGACCCAGGGTGCATCTGTGTCCCTTCAAGTTTAGCTTTAAGGTTTAAGGTCTCGTTCTTCACTTCCACCCAAACAGACCCAACTGCTGAATTTCCTCTTCGAACAAAGCCATGTGGTATCTTTCCTTTTCTCTCTTTTAACTAAGTTTTCTTTTAGAGCAAAAATAGTGTTTGCTTTCCAAATGCAACATCCCCCCTAAAAGAACCTGTGTACTAAAGCAGGCCATCGAGCCTTTCATCACTTCTCTTGGTGATAGCAGTCATGAATTTTTTATTTTCTGCAGGGCTCACTCCAGATCTGCCACAGCATTGTGTGGGTGCACACATGTAAAAAGGCTACTAATTGAAATTCAGATGTAACGAGATGAAGTTTTGCTATTCACCATGACTGCCTTTTGTTTTAGCCCATGTACACTCAGTGCACCTAAACAATACAACCATTGCTTCCCCTTTTAGATTCGACAAGAATAACTAAAAAGGCAAGAAATATTTCTGTGTCTGCTGTAGAGATGAAGTATACACCCCCAAAAATGGGAACAGCACGTGTTAGCTTCTTTATATACTTATCTGTGGGGAGGGACAGAAATTTTAATGGAACTATAAAGAAAATTAAATAGAAAACTTACTGCTATAAACTGTTCTCTTTTGAAGATGCAAATGTGTCTCTATTGCCTAGGTAACTATTATGGAACGCCGAAGCCTCCAAGCCAGCCCCTCAGTGGGAAAGTGACTTCCACCAATGCTTTGCAAAACCTGCAGTCTGGCTCCAAGCAGTCGACTCCAAAGCGAACCAAGTCTTACAATGATATGCAAAATGCTGGCATAGTGCATACAGAGAATGAGGAAGAGGATGATGTACCTGAAATGAGCAGTAGCTTCACAGGTAAAGCAAAAATACCGCTGTCCTTCAGTTAGAATACGTGGGGAAGGCTTTTGCAGGGTATTTTGAAGAGGAGGTGTTGTTTTTAATGTGTTTTCTGCAAAGCTGTCAGTGTCAAACAGAGCTGGCCGACACCTGAATGGCAGATGCCCAGGTGTGATCAAACACATGCACAGCTGGGTCTTTCCAAAAAGGCCTTGTGGGATTGAACTGGTTGAGACAGAAATGTGGTAAAGTTCAAATCCATTAACTGCAGAAAGGTCAGGGAAGAGTTGAGCTAAGGTTGACAGCTACAGACAGTATGAAATGACTCAGCCAGGTTTACATTTGGAATTACTCATTGCTCCTTCCTAAATATGTTGCTGTCCTTTATCCTTCCTTGCATCTAGAGCTGCCCATCACACACAGTTACTGTCCCAGTTCCTCTTCTCCAGGTGCCTGCTTGCTGCAGGAATGAGATCTGGAGCATGGGTGCAAGTTCTGTATTTCATGAAGGTCTTGTGTCCTGCTGAACACAGACCTTGCTCCCACCATGACTACCATCAGGCCTTGGCTGAAAGATCACTGGAAACCTTTGCAATCTCAAGTGCTGTGCAGAGAGATTCAGAGTACTCCCACCATGACTACCATCAGGCCTTGGCTGAAAGATCACTGGAAACCTTTGCAATCTCAAGTCAAGTGCTGTACAGGCAGATTCAGAGTAAAACACCATTGGAGATCCATTGAGTTTCCACAGAAATCAACTGGAAGTTTGTGAAGCTCTGAGGGACAAGAGCTCTTCCCCATGTCCCCAGGCCTAGTATTTGTTAGTGCTTAGAGCATTGTAACCTCAGCTCAGTTTCAATCACTGAATTCATCTTCAGGGCTCCTTTTGATGCAGGTGCTGAGCAAGTATTATCCACACCTTCATGCCTTTCCCAGCTGCTTGCTTTGGGAGCTCACCCTAACTGGCACCTGGTCCTTTTCCCTCTGATCTCTTTCTATCATTATGAAAATTTCCCTTCCCAGCCTCTGACGAGCCAGAAGATCTGTTCTGCCAGTTCCCACCTGCCAATGTCCTGGCTCTAACATTTGTTTAGGGCTTTAAAAGGATTTAGGCTGAGATTTAGTTGTGGTCCTCTCTGGGCCAAACTGTCAAATGGCTTTTGAGGGTCGTACTCAAACTGGCTGCTACCTGCTACATTTCCAACTCAAAGTGCTTCTAGCCAGCTTAATTTCTCCCAGGTTGGAATTTCTGTCTCTGCTTACCAGCTGATTGACCAACCGAGGGTGGTTTCTCACGTGTTGTGACATGACAGCAGCCTCAGCCTTTGTCACGGGAACTGATTTTGGGAAGAAGCTGGTGGGAGATCTGTTATTTGATTTCCTTGCTGCCCGTCTCGGTTTGGTGTCCCTGAAGTAGCTTGAGCATCATTTCTCTTCCTTGTTTTCCTTTGCAAGATAAAATACTGGAAGATGCAGCTCATTTGTCACAATGTTATTACACCCTGGCCCCTTGCCCTCAATAAATGAGCACAGAATCAGGAAGTGAGTTATTTCTCATATACCAAAGTGATTCCTTATGCTTATTTCACATGAAAGTGTGCTAGCCATATTAAAATGCTCCTGCCTCCCTAGGAGACCTCTCAGTAACTTGTGTTTTCCAGATTTTGGCATGTTTGTACTCTCAGTTTTATCTGGCGATGACTCTTTCACGCTTCTTTATGTTGTCATCTTCTACCCAAAAATATCAAACTCCAGGAGGGCTGAAAAGCAAGCACTGAGGGTATATAGTCTAGATGTTTTTCTTCCTGTTCCTCCCAGTGTTCCTCTCTTTTGGCAATGGCAGCACACAGACTAGAATGAGGAAGGAGCTGTTTTCAGGGCTGTGGGCTGTGAACTGAGGATGTCCATGGACTCTGGTGTGGAGAGCAGGGAAGGTTCTGTCTGTGAAGCCTTTTGAGCCCTTGGGGGCTTGGCAGAGGGTGACACTAATCTCTGGTTTTTGCTCAGTGCATTGTCAAGCTGTGCTTGTACTGATGCTCTCAGGGGATATGGAAGTACTGCCATAAATTTTTCAACACCTTCAAGAGCCAAACAGAGAAAGTCCCTTTGGTGGACACAGGGTTCATTTTAGAATTTGTCCATGTTTGCCAAAACCTCTCTGTGAAGGAGTGAGGGCACAGACCTGTTTATTGGGGAGTATTTACTATGATTAGTGATGGGAGGAGAAGAGCAGCATTGTTTCATGGATACAGCTCAAAACTGCATGGATACAAGCATCAGAAATATTTCCTTAGAGGGAGAAGGGCCTGATGCAGCATAAAATACTCCAGACTGACTTTGACTGGAAGGATACTGTGATGAGCCTTGGAATAAACCTCCTCAGACAGCAAGAACGGGCATAGTGAGCAGCAACAGGTGGACACATGGTACAGTGCTGACATTCATTTTAATTTTTAATTTAAAATAACACACTGCACTGAAGACATTCACCATTAGCTTGTTGACTGTGAGCTTCTGGCAACATTTTGCACTTGTAAAATCTCTTTTGATCATTCTTCAAACATGAAATTTCATCCTCCTAGCCCTGTCCCACAGTTGGCACTGCAGGAGTGAACCTGTAAGCCTGCTTGAAAGCACACTGAACTCCTCTGCACCAGTGAGCCTGAGACAGCTTGGAGGAATTTGGTACCTCAGCAGGGCCTGTTGGAGCTGATCACAGCTCCTGGTTTGTTTGGCTGGCAGAGTGTGTGTGGGCAAGGAGAGCTCGCCCCTGCTGCCTCAGAGGCTGCTGGGGCCCTGCCCTCGCTTCATCTGTCGCTGTGTCTCGTGAGTTAAAAGGCAAGGAGAGGAAAACTGGCAGGAGAAGCCTGGAGGAGCAAACGAGGGGAAGGAAAGGGCCGATCCTCACTTGTACCTGTGTTTGTTCCGCAGCAGAGTCTGGTGACCAGGACGAGCACAGCGCGCATATCGGGAGAGAGGCAGCCCCACCGTCCACGATTGAGAGGCACACCCACGTCCCCACCACGGAACCATCTCAGAACCTCCCTCAATACCTACCTCCTTCTGCCGAGGATAACCTAGGTCCTCTGCCAGAAAACTGGGAGATGGCCTACACGGAGAATGGAGAAGTCTATTTTATAGAGTAAAGCACATTTTTGTTGTTCTAATTCCATCTCTCTCCCTCTCTTTGGGCATAAAGTAAACCTCCATGGATGTGTTTTGTGTGTGTACGTGTGTGTATTAAATATTTAGTGCATACAGCTAGGTTGCAGAGCTGTTAGTTCTTTACTGCTTCTGAAGGAGGTTTGCATTTTCTGATTAGATTAACATCCAAATTACTCCTGAGTTCCAAGGCAGAGGGAATTGCTTGTTTTATGAGGGTAGTTACAAAAGCAACAGACACTTATAAAATACAGGCCAGTTGTTTTCACGGGTGGAATGAAAGCTCCTAATTGGAAGGGCTGAGACTTCGTTCTGTGCATAATGTAGAAGAGGGGATTCCTCCAGTCCTGTGCAGCAGAGACAGGGATGGACTTTGTGTGTTGTCCCCTCATCACAGCAAAGGGGCCAAATGTGTTAATGTTCTCCAGTGGCTTGCAAAAGATACAGCTCGGTGCAGGGTAGGCACAGCAAGTTTGGAGCACCTCAAGCTCTGCAGTCTTTGCCTAAGAGCTGATTGCTGTCAGCAGTTTTATGATGATATTGATTTTTTTCATGCCATAAATAATAGTCTCAAATTATACTTGTCTAAATTTATTGAGGTAGGAGTAACTTATAAAATAGGAGCTGTTAGTCTAAGAGATGTCTTGCACAGAGTTTAGCTAGACATTAACACTCAATTAGCCTTTGAAACTCAAACCCTTAGCTGCCAAGTAGAAGAGGGCTTGAGGAATTGATTTTGGATTTGATGGTCTGTTTAATGCAATTGTGGAAACCCTACCAGAAGCCAATGCCCAGTTACTGCAGAAGAACTTCCTCTGTTAATTAGCCCTGTCTCCTGTGGAGAGTTATGCTGGATCAGGGCTGTCAGGGCAGCAGTCCTGCCTCATCGTCAGGAGAGGAGACTTTTGGACAGGGCCAGGGGAAGGGTCAAGAGCAGGTTTTCTCTTGGCTGCAGTGGCAAGGGAACACATGAGAGAAGATTGTCAGAAGATCTGAGGAGCTGGGATGACTGAGGGCACCGCAGCAGCCCTTGTTCAGCTGGGAGAGGGCTGCTCTGAAAAAGGCCATTTTCCAGGGCACTCTCAATTACCTGAAGAGGCTCCAACAGTCCCTGAGTGTAAGACAAGGTCAGAAGAAGGCAGAATGCAAATTCGCATCAGATGAAACCAAGATGAGTACATTACCCTGAGCACAGCTTTCTCCCCTCACGGTGTTCTCAGGGTTCCTCGTTATTTGATGTACTCTCTGCCCTTTGTATAGAGAACAGCCTAATAGCCCGTTCAGCCTGCCATTTCCCTCCTTGGGAGGACAGATGATGAGCAGTGAATGCTGCCCAAGCAGTCAGTTCCTCCCCTTTTTGTCCCCACAGGAGCTTCTGCTGTCCTTCCTTACAGGTGCTTCCACCGGGGGTTCTGCTGCCACCACCAATTTCCCCAAACCACCCCCATGGGTCTGTGTTTTCTGAACAATGCAGGACTGCAGCACCTCTAAATAATTTGTCAGGAGAATCATGTGTGTGTTGGAAAACACAGCCTGTACACATCACAGGCCTGTGTGATGTGAAGCTCTGGTAGCAGAGCCCAGCCTCACATGGGGCTGATTTTGTGCATGAACCTGTTGGTGTGGATGCAGCACTGAATGACTGCAGTTCTATTAATTCTAAGGACACCCTGAGCCTAGAAACCATTTAGTTTGATTTGTATCAGATTAAGAAAGTGAACTAATGAGCAGTGTGGACCCAAGCTGGCTCAGATGTCTGTTCCAGCATCTGTGGTGCTTCGGGTATCAAGTCAGGGTGCTGAAGGGAGCAGCATGAGCTTCTTGCACTGAGCCACTGCAGGTCCAGTGGGGCCAGGCGTGTGTGTCAGATAACCAATCCTGATCTAGCTGAAGCAATTTGGTTCTTGAGATATGCTTCTCTGGCACTTTAATTGGGATTTTCATTGCTCAGCGTGTCCCAGTCCCTTGTTATCTGTGCATGTTACAGGTCTAACACAATCCTTTCCACCTGAGAGTGTGATCTGAAAGGTGTTTAGCTAAATTTTCTGTGCCTCAGCAAACTACACTGTTGTGAGCCTTTGCTTAGCGAGTACAAAATTGCAATATGCAAATATTCTGTTGCTCTCCTCCCACCACCCTCCTTCTCAGCTAGTCTGCAGACTTGCTTATAAATAAGGTGGCAGAGCCTCTCTGCTTTATTTTTTGTTAATTTCCTGACTTGCTGAATTTCTGCCATTCAGTTTTCTAGGTGCCGATTAATTGCTCTGAAGCACTCATAAGGATTAAATACATTTGCTCATCCTGCCTTGGGAGGGCTGGGTAGTAGGATGTGTAAAACAAGGACCTTTTATTTACCCACTCAGATCCTGGGAGCAGGGCTGGCTCCCTTTCTTCCAGTACAATACAAGTTTGCTGGTTGGTTGTTAGTTCCTCAGGGATCGTGGCCCTCATTACAGAGCCCTCATGAGACTGTTGTGAGGCTAAAATTCAGTTTGTAAACCTCTTTGAGACCTTGAAGGAGAAGTAAATAGCATTACTACGGTATTGAAACTTAAAACTGTTAAGCAGTGTTAGAGGCTAAGCTAGATAAGTGATACCTCAGGGACTGGAGGGATATCTTAGCAGGTTGTGTCTGAGATGACACCAGGTTGTAGCAGAGGCATTATATTACCAGATTGTCTGCTTATGCAAATGAAATTATGGGAGAAAATAACTTCTAGAAAAATGTATTTTAAGCCTGTTTACTATGCAACCTTCACCGCTGGGACTGGCATCATGAGGCTGTCAGGGGACTTGTGGAAAGGAAGAGTTGAAAGTAAAGCTGTTCAACTTCCATCAAAGGCTTAGACAGAACATTTTTATCTGTGTAATTATAAAGTTTTCAGTCAAAACCATTTTTGATTAATGCTTGGGTCAACTCTAGACATGTCAAAGGTCTTTTGTAGGAATAAACAGCTCACTGGATAATTTAGTGAGGAAGGGAAACTTCTGCCTTTAGCTCAGAGACAGCTCTGGGAATTAAAAACAAGACAACAAAGATAAAAATTTGGAAATTAATATTATAATATTGCAGCATTCACATGCCTCTTTCCAGTCAGGAGTGCTGATTTGTATATTTTCACTTGTTACCTTTGTGTTTTCAATGTTGTTTCACAAAGTTCTTGTGCTTTGGTTGACTAGTTTACACAACATCAAATTGTAGAGGTGTTTCTTTGAATCAAAAGTATACCTCCAGGTCTGTTGAATAATGAAGAGGATATATACTTTTATGTTTTGGGTACTTCAGCTCTGCTTTATTAACAAAGGTCGTATTTCCATTTTTGGTTTCCAGCCATAACACAAAGACAACATCTTGGCTAGATCCACGGTGCCTGAACAAACAGCAGAAGCCTCTAGAAGAATGTGAAGATGATGGTAAGAGACGAAAAATAGTGACATAACACTGTGTTTGGTCCATTCCTAGGTGACTTCTTCTCCTTCTCTCTTTCTAATAACTAGCATTCAGAAAGACTTTTAAAAATTTAGAAAATATTTTTCAGTAAGTACAAAGAGACAATATCCATTATGTTGTAAAATCGCTGTGAATGTAAAACAGCCACGGAGGTGCCAGATCATTTAACAAAAATCAAGGAGGTGCTACAAGTAAGAGGCCTCTGTTTTTGCAAAGGCATTTGAAAAGTCACTGAGGCTGAACAAGACTCAAAGCTGTCTGACATGTTTGCTTCTTGGATCGCTGTGTGGGAGGGAGTGACTGAGTCTCTGCGTGCTCCGCCGTGTTCCGCTTCAACCGCCTGCTTCACATGGGTTGAGAGAGTTATGTTGCTGTTTCCTTGTTTGAGCAGAAATAACTCAATTGCTTCACTTGTGCTGTTAAATGCTGACAGTCTGTGCAGTGTTGTGATTGCTGAAACAAGCTCCATTTGAAGGTGTAGATTTCTGACACTGAAAATTTGCACTGAGATTTGGTATTCCTTGAGATGTTGGAAATGCAAGCCACTGTCCGATTTAGAGCAGCCAAATGCAGGACTGTTAAAGGAGGTCCCTTCCTGGCCTCCTTTATGAGATGTTGGAAGAAAAGATGAATTATGAAAATAACTTAAATGTTTGGGAAAACCTGTGAGGGAATTTTGGCCTCTTGACCAGGAAGGATGATGGTATTGAAATACATAATCTTGGCTAATACAAGCCTGTCTGGTAGACACTTCTGAAAAATGGAAGGGTTTCCTTCATCAGTGTTGGTGCTGTTCCTTGTAAAATCAGTTTTCATAATATGATGAACCTCCTACTGGTGTCAGTCATCTTAATAAAAATCACAATTTTATTTCAGAAAAAAATCAACTCAATCCCTTTTCCACTGTTAGGTTCCACTCTGGCCTCCAGAACTGCTGTTAACTGTTTTTACACGTGTAGTAGTGTTTCAGCCTCTCCTGTCTTTCACTTGTGAGATTTTGCAGGCTGTGAGAATTTACCTCTGCAGTCTCGGCTGCTGTGATGAAGCAGGTCACCAGCTAGCTAGAGCACAGTGCAGGTTACCCTCAAACCACAGGGATGTGCCAGGCGAGGAGCAGCCAGCACCACAAGGCTACAGAGGGTGACTGGGCTCCTCTGTTACACAGTTTGAAGTCTCCTCGCAGAAGGGAAAGTCTTTCTCTTGTCCTCTTAGCAATTATAAAGCAAAAATTGGAATATTTTTTTTAATTTGGAATAGAAACATACAGCTGGTATTATTGTATTTCATTGAGTTCATCATTTTGGAGAGCAGTGGCATCTTTGTTTATCAACTCCTTAAAATCAGCTAATTTCATCTTCCCACACACCCCTCCACTTCATTCACCAAGTTGCTCATTAATGGATATTTTTAACATTCACTAGTTAAACCAGTTGCTTGATAGTTACAGTAGTGCTCTGCAATGCTTTGCTTGGCTGCTCTAATCTTGATTAGCACATAAAAATAATTATGTTTTAAAAAACAGAGAGAAGAGAAGGTTAGTTTTGCTTTGTCATAGAAGCTGGACGTTTATTTGGCAAGGGTCATTGTTGTGTGGGATGACTCCTCTGTTTTGTTTGGTGTGTGTGTGTGTGCATGTGAATCGCCAGGCTCATCCCACCCTCTTTATGGATTTTATAAATGTTAGATATTGTTTCAGATTTGTTTGGGTGCAGTTAGTTGCATTGTGCTTTTGTTTCATCGGGATATGTGTCCCTAACAAAGTTTTTACTTGTTTACTTTACATTGTTTAGGCTATCAAAGGAAATTGCAATTTGTATTTCACACTAATGGTCCCAAATAACTGGTTTGGTAGAATATTTTTCAGGAGTCATGGAAGTAGTTTTTTGGGTGTCCAGATATTTCAACCCTATAACCTCTGCTTGCTTCTGTCATTCATTTATGTGGCTTAAACTTTGCTGTATGGGGTCCAAGATTGTTTTCACCATCTTTGTTCTGGTTTTGTCACCATCTTTCATTTTCAGACTGCATTATTATTATTTATAGGCCAAGCAATACTTTAATCATCTGTGTCACTGTTAACTTATGAATATGGAGCAGATAATGATAAATGGAGCAACAGCGAATATTGATGGCTTTGTGTCTTTGAAAAATTATGTGATCTTTGTCCCAGGTGCCCTGCTAAAACTGGTGCATTCCTGTCTGTGCCTCACCAGTGCATCTGGACTGTGGGGCTGTGCCTCCAGTGAAACAAGGCTTCATGCCTATCTAAATCATCTGAGTAGGACAGTGAAGTCTGTTGGACCTTGTGTGCACATAAATTTAGATGCTTTCTTGAAAACCTTGCTGCATTAGTCCTTGTTTAGGTGCAAGGTTTTCCTCTCAGATTGCTTCATTAGTGTCCAGGCCTGACCTTCTGCTCGATCCATGTGTCTGTAGAACAGACTGCGAAGGTCGGACCGCGCGATCTGAGGGAAGAGCCTCACCACAGTGAGAACATCACAATTTCATGACTTAGCCATATCAAACCATGACATCGAAGTAGTCCATTGATGCAGATGTTCTGGGAGTGCAAGAAACAGTTCTTTCATTATCTGCATCACATCCATCAATATTCTGATCACTGGAGTGTGATAAATGGGAAGCTTGGGCTCGGTGTGTAGAAAATTAGTGCTGGTTCTGCTGTTTGCTGTAGGGAATTTCTTGCTTGGGGCTGGTATCTGAAATTTTCTTTTAATTTTTTCTGTCTCATTTACTGCTCTTCCCTTGGAGAAGAAGGGGTGCACACGGAGGAACTGGACAGTGAACTAGGTAAATCATCCATCTCTCATTTTGATATTTGACTTCAACTGCACTGTTTTGAGCCTTTACTTACTTACTTTCTCCTTTGTATCATTTTGCATCTTTCAGGGGTTTTTTTTTATTTCAATAAGAGTAATTTATCAGCAAAACTTCCCCAGCACACAAAGCATTTATCTTTCCCTAGCTTCAGATCTGCAGTGCTTTTCTTACTGATTCACAGATTGAAGAAAGCTAGAGAGCCCCAGTCTTGCAAAGTTATTTTGAAGCTGCTTCCTCCTGGACTCTACAGAAGTTGGGGTCTTTTCCTGTGGCATCTCTGGCTCCAGGAAAAAGCTCATAGATGCCAAAGATGAAATGAAGTAGCTCATGATGCTTTTTCACTGGGGCCCAAGACATTTCCCAGGCAATAGAAGCTAAGTGTGATTCAGAAAGTTTTAAGTGTTACATCGGATGCTTCAGCTGAGCTTGTGAATGAAACAGCTTAAAATTTTCCCTCAGTCAGTGATTTTATAAACAGATGATTTTCAATGATGTGGTACACTTTTATTTGCAGCATCTCTTTGTGAAGGATGCTGTCTTGATATCTAATCTCAGCAGTGCTCATTGTGTTTATACTGAAGGCAGAGGTAGTTGTTATTTCTGTTCAGCTATGCTCTAGTGCACTCACAGAGCTGAAAGGATAAGAGGTTGCATAGGATTTTATTTCCACCAGGACTATTATTGCTTTTTAAAAGGACTGCAGTTACAGTTCATAGCTCTGCATACTGGAGGAATTGTATTACCAGAGAATTAAGCTCAGGTTTCTGTAATGACTTGCAAGGAAGTGTATTCTGCTCCCTGCTTCTGTGTGATGGATATGGCATCAGCAGCCAGCAGTGGACTTGGAACACTGCTCCACGAATGGTTCTTCTGAATAATATGCCTGGAATAAAATGCCTAACTTCTCATAGAGCAAGAATTTGAAAGAAATTGACAATTTAAAGAAGAATGCAGTCTCTTTAGTGGTCCATGAGTGTTATGTGCAGCTTGCACAAATGATCATCAGCAGACCAAGTAGCACCAGAAGTAGGTGGATGCACATCAACAATCTGCAGAGGGTTCTCATGAAGGTCTTCACAACCAGTGGCTTAAAATGAGAGGGAGGTTTTAAAAAAAGCAAATTTAGAGGCAATATTAAACAGAAATTACCCTTCTTTCAGTCTGCTATCAGGAACTGGTGCAAGAGCAGAGCTGAAAAAATAGATGCAGGAAAACTCATGAATTGATAAACGTGACCCCAGATCTGCAGGCACACACACACATGTTCTCCTCCAACATCACGAGATGTTCCCTTTGTTTCAGTGCAGATAAGTTTTATTGAGCTCACAGCCCATCAATATGCTGTTGAGATGTGCAAATGTTGCAGTGTAAAGAAATTTTCAAATTACTCAATTGGCTACAGCAACATTAGGAAGCAGGCATGAAAACTTAGTATAGTTATAGTAACTCAGGTTAGTAAAAACTGGTTGGCAACAGCACCTTAAATTATCAACAGCTTCTGTTCTAAATATAAGATTAAGACTCAAGGCATTTTCACAACTTCTTGTTTTCCAAAGAGCTGTGGAGTAATAGGTCACTGCATTTTAACAGAAGTTGTTCTTCAGACACAAAAATTGAACCATAAAGCAGAATTTGGCATGGTTTGGACCAACCCTCCTGGCTTCACAGGGAGCAGTAAGAGCTCAGTGTGCTGAGTTCCTCTCCAGCTCCTTCACAGTCGTGCATGGCTGCAGCTGAAATACCTGGTGGCTAGAGAAGTAATGTTTTAGGAATCCATCCAGCCCCTCTGTATGTAGGGCAGGATAGTAGAGCATCTCAACAGGAATCCATGTACTTATCCAAGGCTTAAAATTGTGATATTAGATATTTGTCCATTGAATTTACCCACCTGCTGATACATGCTCTGAGACTGCATTGGTGCTGCATGAATGTACCAAAACAAAAACCATGTGGCTCATTCAGGCTCCTAAGGATGCAAAATGTTTTTTGAAATCTCATCTTTGTGACAAAATCTAATGCACTGGATCATCTTCAGTTTGGCAGGAAAAGTAAAGAAAGGAGATTAATAATTTAAAGCAGCTAAGAAGCTAGACTGCAACATGGCTGTGGAGAATATTGTCTTTTACATTAGAGAACTTCTGGAAGCTTGTAGGAGTTGAAAAGTACATTTACATAATCATCAAGAAATGTGTTAAAAGCTGCAGTTTTGTATATTGTTACAGCTGAAAACATGGAGATTTTTTCCTTAAAAAATCTGCAGAGATAGTAAACGGGAAAGATTTTGGCATAGTGCCATTTTTGGAGTTAGGAAAGTGCTGGTAGCCTGATCTTTTGTGAAAATACTTTCAAAGGGAAGGAAAAAAAGAAATTCAATATCAAAATCTTTTGTGAAGAGAGGAAAGAAAACAATTTTTTTTTTGTTTAAACTTTAAAAGTAAAAAAGCACTTAGTAGTCCAAAACAGACAAAAGATATTCAGCATGAAAACTGCTGGAACTCATTTGAAGGCATTTGTGCATCACTTCTCCTTTCCCTCATTGGCTTTTTATTTTTCTTTCACCCCAGCTTGATCTCTTTACCATTCTACCTTCACCACAGTGCAACAAAGTAAATGGATACAACAGCTTGTGATTTTCCCAACTGCATGCTAGGTTGTAATTGAATCACACTGAAACTCTTGGAGCCGGTCCCACGGTGCTCTCACCTTCTGGGACTCCTCTGCAAACCTGAGAGTTCCCTTTGCGAAAAGACTTTCAAGATTGGCCTCTAGCTTTCTGACCTTTTCCTCAGATAAACTTGCAGGGTGCAAAGGAATATCTAATTCTGAAGTGTTCAATCTGCTGATTAAAAACATGGAGTTTTTTCATGCCCAGAAGTTAGCATTGGCTTGCATTTAATGGCTTATGTCTCAAGGAATCCAAAGATGTTAAACACGATGAGGATAAAATAATAAGAATGGAAAAACCTGCCTTTTATCTGCAAATAAGGGACATGTGGAGCAAAGTTGATTTCATCTGATCTCCAGCCAATTCTGAACACAAACATAAACTTTGAGTAATTAGTCCATGTGTGTTTGTATAGATTCTACAGTCTTGAGATATTTCTATCCTTATGGCAACATTATTCTAATTAATGGGCCATTGTTGATTGTATTGGCTCAGCAATTGATGCCATTAATGGAAATAAATGTCTGCATTTGATAATGAACTAACATAGATTGCTGTCGGTGTTGACAAATTTCACGTTAAATTTTGACAAATTACTTTGCATGGGCTATTTGACTTTGTGTTATCCAACAGTGCTGGTTTTTTCCTATATTTCAATGAATGTGCAGACTTGGTGGGACCACATGGGCACAGTCTATAGTGTGGTGGAGGTCTAAATGAGTGGCACAAGGATCAGGCCATTAAGTAACACATACAGCTTTAATAACCCTCACTTGGATGCTGAAGTGATAGCATTACATTCACTAATTACAGTTAAAGTACTATCTGCAATCTAGAAAATCAACAGAAACAAAAGCGGATCCATTTAAAAATGTTAATTTCATCTTCAGAACAGCTTTTTGTCAATTATGGTAATGAAGGGAAGGAAATCTCTGTTCCATGTGACTGTGGCAGTGTGTGTTCTTACATGAAGTGTTGTGCAATGAAATGCACCCATGTGCCAGCCCCTCCTGGGTGGGTTCCCTATGTTGGCATACATGTTAAATCCACCTTGTCCTGGTTTTGTGTTGGGCTCATGGCTGAGCGGTGAAAATCCCAAAGAAAAGAATAAAAAATTCTTCTTTTCTGCACTGGTGAGCATAAATGGCTCAGCCTTGGTACAGGAGGTGGAAGTGGTCTCTGTCAGTGGGCTAGAGTTTTTTGCCAAAGTCTCACCTACCTTCATGGGTTGGTGTTAAAATGCCCTGGCCTTTCCTGCATTGATTTCCCCTGCTGTGCTCACTCCAGGGCCACTGGCCACGGTGGAGAAACCAGGGGGCACTTAAGGCAGTCCCAGACAGTAAATTTATTGAGCATTTGCTCATTTAATGCAAAAAGCAAATCAAACATTGACTGGTGAGGGCGTTTTCCGAGTGCTGTGCTGACCCAGCACAGGGGACACAGGCTGGGGTGTTGGGGTCCTGCTGTGCCAGCCCTCCAAAGGGGGCTGTGGTCATTCTGAAAAGTACCCAAAGCAAGGTCTGATCTACTGATGAGTTTTGCACGTTGGGCAGGAGCAGCTGCCTGTTAGAGAAAACCTGCCTAGGAGGTTTCAGTAATGCTTTTTCTATTTCCAGAGTTGCCTGCTGGTTGGGAGAAAATTGAAGATCCTGTATATGGTGTCTACTATGTAGAGTAAGTGCTGCTGCCTGTTCTGGTGTGCTCCTGGGGGGAGGAGCTGTCCCTGCACCCCACTCTGTGCTTTGCTGGTGACATCTCAAGGAGGAGGAGAAGACCCTGGCCCATTACAGGCTGGGGGATGTTACAGGGTCTGGGGATGGTCAGCCCTGTCTGGCCATTCCCCATCCACCCCAGAGTGGGCTCAGCAGGGGCAGCAGTGCCCTGGGAGGGGGCTGAGCTCAGGGAAGGAAGGAGCAATCCAGGGTTGGGATGTGAGGAGCCCCAGCACCTCACAAAGTATTTCTATCCATTAATGAGTTTGCATTTAGCATTTATCTGAGTTTGGTGGGCTTTGTGCAGTGCTGTGGTCACAAAATGAGTGTGCAAAGCATTCCCCTAGCCAGCTGTGTCAGAAGATGCCCAAAGGGAGGATTGGAGAAGATGGGATGGCCAAACAGCCATGGCAGAGGGTCTTCCATCAGGCTGTGTGAGTGTGAATAGAATTACAGGTTTAATGGGACTCCCTGTGGAATTAGAGCAGCTTCTCCTTTATCAACATGTCAGATTGCTCCTTTGGGAAACTAGAGATCGGAGTTCTGTTTCATCACTGACCCCATAAAATGAATTTTTAATTATGTGTATACTCCTGTCTAGTAGGATGGCTTGTGATAGCCCTCAGAATAGACATGGAATACACTTTCTGTCTGCTTTGGCTTGTTTCTGACCCTACCATCTGTGCCTAGGGAAACAAGGTTAGCAAACTGTGTAATTAAGGTTTGACATTTATTTACCAAAGACATCAAGAATATTTTTCGGCTATTAAATGCCATGCCAAGAGATCTTTACAGACTATTGTCCTGTCACTTTATACATACATGCCTGTTAGTTTTGTGGCACTCCTTACTGATGGAATTAAATCAAAAAGTAACTTCAATAAGACAATAATTTTATTTTACTTGTTGTCTCTAAGCTAGCATGATTGTTGTAATTTCAGCATTTGTCTCTGTCCCTTCAAATCAGGCACTTTGTTATTACATAATAGTTTTTATTGAGAGACTATTGCATCATGAAAAAGTTTATATCATTTTTAAAGTAGTTATCAATTCCTCTTGGCTCTCCAAAGAAATCTTGAAATGGAAAATCTTTTTCAGTGAGTGAGTTAGAGCTCACTTTCAGTGAGTTAGAACTCACTAACTTGTTTTTTATTTAGTAAGTTAAATATTTTTCTAGTGATTTAATATTGATCTTTAACAGAAACATTTCTGAATATAAATCCCTGGAGTGCTTCTGTCACAATTACTTGAAAATGTGGTTGGTTTTCATGTGGGTTTTTTTTTATAAAACCATACTGGATAGGAGACAATATAATAGCAATTACTCTTAATGGTAAACTTTGCTTTGTATACCAAGACAGGCTTTAAGGTAATATGTTTTTTGAGGTCTACCTGTTCCTCTGCTGTACCAAAATCTCTACTGAAAAAGTCTTTTGAGCAGTTGATGAGCCATTGCTGCCCCTGCCACCCCAGCATCTGTGGCTGCTGTTCTTCACTTGGTTGAATAAGGTGGTGAATCCTCTGCTGAGTGCATGCCTTGTCTGCCATGGTGGGACTGGGCTGGAACTGGTACAAAATATTGGCTCTCAACATCTCATAGTGCTCAAAAGCTGCCTGAGGAAAGCAATTAAGTTCAGTAAATACTGGTTTCCACTGGGAGTATTTGCTGGTGGCTGATTCTGGATAGATTTTGATCCATTTGGAGCTCATAGCCTGCATCCCTGCAGATATTTTTAAGACACCCTGTGTGCATTGATCAGATTGCTGGCAGATGTTGGGGTTTGTTTTGTTTTGTTTTGTTTTTAACTTGGGTGAGCCAGGAAATGACTGCACCTCTGGGAATCTGATTAAAGCAGGGATGATACAGGCCTGTCTTTTAAAATGCAATCAAGACAGTATGCCTTTCCTGCTTTAATCTCATTTTTCACAGATAGATCACTACTTTAATGTATTTGAAGGAATTAGCCATCCCTACTCGAGACATCATATCAATACCAGAATCTGCTTGTTTTTCTAAACACTCTTTTTGGGACAACTGGATGAGCCTGGCTCCACACCCACTGCTGTTGCGTTTGTTTGGTATTTTACTCCTTTCCTCAGAAAGAGGAGCTCCAGTGCCTGGCCCTCATTGCTGCTTGTTGCACAAAGGGTTTCCCTAATTGATTGCTCTCTTCCATCTCCAGCCACATCAACCGGAAGACGCAGTATGAAAACCCAGTCCTTGAAGCCAAGAGGAAGAAGCAGCTGGAACAGCAGCAACAGCCTCCAGAAGGTTGGCACCCTTGAGGGCATGGTGGGTGGGTTGTTCATGGGGGAATGTCCCCCCTGGCCGTGGCAGCACCGTGCCAGTGTTTGTCCTTCCCTCCATGGCCTTAGGGTGTAAAGCCAAGGTGATGTGCCTGGGAAAAACTGTGTTTGTCCTGCACAGAAGTTGTAGCAAAGGAGGAAATCTAAACTGTATCACTTAAATGTGGAAGGTTTCAATCTTGTTAAACAGGAGAGATTTTTCTTTGTATGTTGTTTGTCTCTGGAAAGTTTCTAGACTTCCCAGAGACAGCTAAAACACGTTTTCCTCTTCAGTCTGCTCCATGAAGTTAGTCACTGTAGCTGGTGTTGTTCCAGTCTGCACTGGGACTCAGGCTGTCAGAGGGGATGAGGAGTGGGCACTTACATGCACTAGATAAACCCTGCATGAGAGATTTCTTAAACCAAGACCTTTGTATGCTGTCAGGCTCTAAAATCTGAAGTAATTCCTTATTTTGAAACACTCTTAAAAATTATTTTCCTCCCTGCTGGCCCCTTTTTTTCCTTTCTTACTTTTTATATTTTTTTTTTTTTCTTCAAATGCAGCACAGCTGCAGTGAGGGCCCTGTAACATTTGGGTTTGTTCTTCTACCTAGATGCCATGAGTGGCACAGGAGTAGATTTCATTTTAATGTCAAATCCCCTTAGATGCAAATCACATCGCAAGTTTCAGTGTGAGATAGGCTGTCCCAGCAGATGGATCAGTTGACCTGGATATAGAGATCCTTCAGAACTGGTTTTTGGACATCCCATTCATTGTATTCCCTCTGTCTGTGACTCTGTTTCCTCTCTTGCCATGCTTCTCACCTCTCTGCTTGACCCCCACACTCCCAGCGTGTGCACATGCAGCAGCTCCTGGTGCTGTTGTGAAACCAGTAACATTTCCCTCTCTGCCCTCTCTAGAATGGACAGAGGAGTGTCCATCTCTCCCTCCACCTGCTGCTCCAAACCATGTTTCAAACAACCAAGAGGCAGTTCGGGAAGCACCAGTACAAGGTAACAGCCTTGTTAAACCAGTTGTGAAAGAGCAACAAGGTTTTTTCCCTGAGAATGAAACTCCCTCAGCCACCACAAGGGCAGTATTTCCACAACTGGTGACACACCAGGCCCTGTGCCTGCTTATCTGAATTCCCAGATTTTGAGACTAGTTGTTTCAAGACTGCATTTGTTGCTGAGTGCAAGAGGTGAATGAGGTTTGATGCACACATCAAAAAAAGGATTGTGGTTGCTCTCTGTGTAGTGTTCCAAGTTTTCAAATACAGTGGACTTATTCAGAAGTTGTACTTTTGTACAGGTGCTTTGGGCTATTACAGCCTTTTTTATTGTGTCAGTGGTCACAGACCAGTTGTTCACCTTAAATAACTCACCAGCCAGGACATGAATCATTCCTGAATTTGCAGCATGAGCTGAAACATTGCCAGGTCAGGTCACCAGCAAGGGCAGGGAGTTCCATTTGTACCTGTGGCAGTAAAGTGCTCTCTGGTTACAAGTGGTTGTAAGTAGGCTTATTTTTGACTACATCTGAATTGCATAGCAAGTGAGTGGCATTGCCCTGGTCTGCTGGATCCAGAGCCTGGGGAAGGTGAGAGGGGGAATCTGGCTGGAATGCCTCTCCCTGACAGAGCTGGGAGCAGCTGGGAGCTGGGAAGTACTCCTGTGGTCTCTGAAGGCAAACCTGACTGGAGTGCTGCTGTCCCAGGCAGCCTTTCCTGCCAGAAAGCCAGGAGGTGCTCTCTGCAGCAGGGGGAAGCAGATCAGCCCTTCCAAAACAGATGTGGGATTTCACAGGACCCAAAGTCCCCAGCACAGCCCTAAGGGGTATTAGAGTACATTAGAGTAATCCAACCTGGTAGCAAGGAAAAAACATGGAAGGTCTGAGGATGGCACCCTGACCACCAGGCACCTGAATTTAGAGATGTCATCAGAGTGCCACAAAAACACTGATCTTCCTCCTGGAGGCATCTGTGAGTGCCACCTTTGCCTTTCCCACAGTCAGGATGAAGCAAGGGCTGCCCAAGCATCCACACATGGCGATGCAAAGGAGCCATCAGCAGGGATGTTGGGAGCTCAACATCACCACTCAACAACTCAGCCACCAAAACTGTGCAGCAGTGTTAGAGCAGGGCATTAACCTGTCTCAGCACCACTCTGAGTGACATGCCCTGGTATCTGCTGATGACTCCTCCCCTCTTTCATTCCTTCCTCTTCCTTTCTCAGTGCTGCTCCCTCTTCTCTCACTCCCCATTTGCAGCAGCTTCCATGCCTGGAGGTTTCCATCTCTCCCCCTGATGGCACTGCTGGCAGGGATGTGGGCACAAGGAGCCCTCCCTGTGCCCCTGGCAACACTCTCACAGCCTGGGTTTTGTAGATACACTCATTTCAAATGTGAATGCTGTAGGTGGGATGTAGCCTGTGGTGCTGCTGTCCTGCTACTGCAGGGCAAGCTCAGCCTGTGTCTGTGGGCAGACACCAGCAAGCTCAGCTTGTTCTGCTTGTCCTTTGAACCAGAAATGAGCCCTGCTGCACTCTGCCTCTCTGCTGTGTGTGTTACCTGAGACACGGGGTTGCACTTTGATAGTCAGGGCTTTTTTGCAGGCTGAGGTCTGAGCAGACCATCTGCCCACGGTGTGCAGGATTACCGTGTTCCTCTGCCACCTTCAAAGGCAGAAAACTACCAGTCCTCACACTGCCTCCTCATGAATAATCTTCAAATATGCATTTTTTCCTCCCAGTCAAAGGCTTACAAGTCTCAAATCCCCTCGCTCTCCCCCGAGCTCTCCTTTCTGAGCAGAGGCCCACAGCAATGCTGCTGAGGTGTTTGAAAGTGAGCCAGCTCTGCTGGCTGTGATACCCACTGCTGATCCCAGAGTTGTCACCAGAGGGCTTAGTGGCACAGGCTAAGCGTTAAAAACAATTAAAAGTGCAAAGGTGTTTAGTGTTGGCACTGTGAAGTGCAGCAACCGTGATCCCCTTCCTGAGCCTGTGCAACATGCTTTGCAAGGATGTGCTTTTGTCCGTGGAGCACCTCTTTCCCTCTTAACTGTGCTCCCAGAGAGCATTCCCAGCCCTCCAGCACAACTGCTCTGGTCCTGGGCTGCTCTTTGATTCAAACTTCACACCAGAAGTGTTTCATCCACAACAGGCAAGGAGCAGAAAGGGAAAAGACTTCAAACAGTGTCTGAAGAACAACATCAGTGTCCTCCCCTTTTTCTCCAGTGGAGGTCACAGGGCAGTAGCAGTGGTGGGGCTGGGGGTTATGCTGAAGGGTATCAGTGTCTTATCAGAGCTCAGCACTTGCTTTTTGCTCAGTGGGCTGGGAGAAAGTCAAGTGGTGAAAAACATAATGATGCTTCTTTCTGCAGAAACTCTCATTGCAGACTCCTGTAGGAGGCCCCCTAACCCTGCCCCATCCTTCCCAGGATGGATACAACCACCTCAGGACAGAGACGAGACACACATCCAGCCCAGCATTCCTAGCTTTAATACATTCCATTCTTTAAAGCACTATGTTTTCCCCTTTGTAGCCTTGGGGCTTTGGTGAGCACGACCACAGCTAACAAAGTGCCAGGTACTGGGGTTTTGTTCACATATTTTACTGCATGCCTGGATCCAGGGAATCAAGCTGAGTGTGATGAGATGAGAGGCTGTAGGAGTGAAGTGCAGTCCTGTCCCTGCACACTGCTCTGTTTGTCCATGGACTCGTTACAGTGGGGAGGGGCAGAGGAAAAAGAGATCAAACACTCTTGCCTGCCTGCTTATAGATTTTTTTTTCCAAACTTCATACACAGGAAAACCTTTTTTTACACGAAACCCTTCTGAGTTGAAAGGGAAGTTCATCCACACCAAGCTAAGGAAAAGCAGCAGGGGCTTTGGCTTCACTGTCGTTGGAGGAGATGAGCCAGATGAATTCCTCCAAATCAAAAGTTTGGTGCTTGATGGTCCTGCAGCGTTGGATGGCAAAATGGAAACAGGTACTGATGCTTTATATCAAAATCATCACTACCACTTTGGTTTGTGTTTTTGCAGCTGGTTTGAAGTGCCATTCTTAAAGGACTGTAGTCTTCATCCCCTTCTTGGGGAAAGGCATTCAGCTTTCCCATCAGTAAGGAAGTGAGATGCATTGAGGAATACATCCAGAATCTTGGAAAAAGACACTTCATGTGTTGGAATTCCATCTCAGTGTCAGAATACCATCTGGGACACTGCCAGCTCCTGCTCTCCCCACACTGATCTGAGGAGAGGAGCCAGCAGTTGTGGGTTCCACATCAGGCTAAGGGTTCTTGCTCCTTGCTGTGGATGGTGGATTTTTGTAGGGCTGCACCACCATGTGTTTGTGTCTCTGCCATGCTGCTTGCCTCTTTCCAAAGCTACTCCCAAGGAATGGGCAGAGCAGTGGGCTAATCTGCAATTTCCCTGTGTGGAGGCACCAAGGGCAAATTCATTTTGCCAGAGATCGGGTCCACCACAATTTAGTTGCAAAATATGAAATAATGGTTCAGTGCTGAACACAGTGGTGCCAGGTTAATGGTTTGGCTCAATGATCTTAGGGGTATTTTTCTGTCTTGATTCTATGAAATCTCTTAGGCTTTGTCTGAGGTCACGACTCCTCACTTTCAGTTAGAGTTTCAGTTGGAGCATCACAGCACTTAGCATCCCTATTTTGCAGCCCCAGTGTTAATAAAATGACTCATAACTTTATCAATATCTGGATTTCAGGCTGAAATATGAGGCATGACATGTGGCACTCACTGTGTTTGAGCAGTTGGTATTTGAGAGCCTTCTGTTACAGCTCCCATGTGCTTTTAATTTTGTTTCTATCATATGTCAACGTGTAACAGTGAGAGCTGGACTTCAAAATAGCTGTGAAACAGGCCATATACCATCATTTAAATGCATTAATTTTTTTTTTCATGAGCCAGTTCCATTTTCACTTCCAAAAACATTTATGTTCATAAAACCTTTATGCCATGAATCCACAGAGTTTTTGCTCGCCCAAGTGTCACTGCTCTATGGCATTCACATTCTCTGAACACGATTCCTTCACCCAGGGTTTTTCTCCTGGGGAGCTGAAAGGCAGCAAGATGCCTCAGAGAAAAGAAAAACAATTCTTATCTCCTTTGCTTCTCCTGTGTTGTGCTCATATGGAATGTGTTTGGAGATTGTTTACCCATGGGTGATTGCCTGATTGGACTCTGGTGTGAGTTGTTGTGACTCTTTGGCCAGTCAGTGCCAAGCTGTGTCGGGACTCTGGAAAGAGTCATGAGTTTTCATAATTATCTTTTTAGCATTGAGTAAGTATCTTTTCCATATTCTTTAGTAAAGTGTAGTATAGTATTCTTTAATATAGTATAATGAAGTAATAAATTAGCCTTCTGACAACATGGAGTCAGATGCATTGCTCTTCCCAGCCACGGGGCTCACTGTGAATTTACAATACCGCTCCTTTCCTTGTGCTGTTGCCTGTGAGTGGTACCTGTGGATGCTGCAGATCTGCTCTCAGGCTCTAGCCCTCACCTTCCTGCAGCACACAAAATGTATCTCCTCGCTCTGTCTGTCTGTGCCTGCTGCAGGGGACGTCATAGTCAGCGTGAACGACACCTGTGTGCTGGGGCACACTCACGCCCAGGTGGTGAAAATCTTCCAGTCCATCCCCATCGGTGCCAGCGTGGACCTCGAGCTGTGCCGGGGCTACCCCCTGCCCTTCGACCCCGACGACCCCAACACGAGCCTGGTCACGTCCGTGGCAATTTTGGACAAAGAGCCGATCATTGTGAACGGGCAGGAGAACTACGACTCCCCGGCGAGCCACAGCAGTAAAACAGGGAAAGTAAATGGCACAAAGGAGGCCAGGCCCAGCAGCCCGGCTGAGGTCTCCTCCAATGGACCCCACGGCTACCCCAACGACACGGTGTCTTTGGCATCCTCCATAGCAACACAGCCTGAGCTCATAACTGTGCACATAGTGAAAGGGCCCATGGGCTTTGGGTTCACTATAGCAGACAGTCCCGGTGGGGGAGGCCAAAGAGTGAAACAGATTGTGGACAGCCCACGGTGCCGTGGCCTGAAGGAGGGAGACCTCATAGTGGAGGTCAACAAGAAGAATGTGCAGAGCCTCACTCACAACCAGGTGGTGGATATGCTGATTGAATGTCCTAAGGGAAGCGAAGTCACGTTGCTGGTGCAGCGAGGAGGTAAGACTTCAAAACTGCTTTAAAACACCTCTTCTTGAAATTAGAAAAGGAAAAAATGCGTGTCATGAAGGATCTGCTCCCTAAGCTTCTCTGTAGAAATGGTTTTTTTTCCCTGAGATGTAGGAACTGCCCCAAGTTGGCAGTTGTCAGGTCACATAGGTGGTTAAAATTATTTATTGTGTGTTGCTGCACGGTGGGGGATGCTCAGGTTCCCACATGCACACAGAGCTGGTAAGGGGCAGGAGGGTGGTGTGGTTACACCTTTGCTTACATAACAAACCCTGGTCTCATGCTCAGAAAACCTGAGTGTTTTAAATAGAACATACACATTCCTTGAGCTATTCTGAGATATGGAAAAGGCTGGTAATATGTTCTGTAATTTGCAGTGTTCAAAATCAGATACTTAATGACTCTTCGCTGGTGAAGGATTATACCTGGGATACATTTGGGAGCATAGGAGAGAATTTAAATTTCTCCAGGTTGTAAGCCATTGCAATGTGACTTCTGCACGTTTGTTTGCTGTGCCATTGGGAGCTGAGCTCATTTTTTGGTAGCACTGCTGAGGCCACCAGCAGGTCCAAAACCCATCCCCCAGGCAGCCCACATGGAGCACGGCTGGCACGTAACCTGTCAGTGGTCAGTCCATGCACAGGAACTCTTTCCCTGCACACAGTAAGTGTTAAGCAACCTGAGGTAGCACCCCTTTACTTGTGGATTGAGATTGCTGGGATAGGGTCAAGCTCACAGGGAAGTCCAGGTCAGCTGTTGAGTGCAAAATGAAGAGCAGAGGTGTCAGCTCTCCCTCCCTCCCTGGCACTGGGGCCCTCAAAGGCCTGTCCCCACTGTGCTCCCTGTGCCAGGCAGGTTTTATGGACAGAACACACCTGAGTGCCCCGTGGATGACAGGAATGACCTCACTGCAGAGGCAGAGTTAAAGGGACAAGCAGGTGCTGAGCACAGCCCCCAGCCAGCCCTGGGGAGAGTGTGTGCTATAAAAGTCCTTTCCTGCTGACTTTTCTAAAGTGTTTTGTTTGCAGTAAACACCAAAAGCCAGTCCATTTTAACAAGGGACAAGTTGTTTCCTGAATTCACAAGTCTGGTTTGTTGTTTTCCAAGACTTATTTCAAGGCATTGATTCTGCAATTAATTGCAGCTCTGGAGAAAGTACTGCCTTTCCTATATTCCTTTCTTTCCAAGTGCTTACTGTGTTTTTGTATTTTGATAGTAAATTAGAAAGTAGAGAATAGAATATATTAAGAATTCTCCACTTTCAAAGTGTGAGTTCCTTAAAGACTTTCAGTACTAGAGAGATTTTTAAAATGCACTTCATTCTCATTATTAATATATGTATTATGGAGAAAATATGGTTGGAAGAAAAATAGCAGCTATTATTAATCCTCCTGGAGAGTGCATATATATCTGGTAACACCATATATTAATTATTTGAATTGTGCCTGACATTTAATAATCCTCCTAAAGCCTTGAAGGCATAATGAAAAGTTTTGATGAGGAAATAAAAGCCTAGTTTTAATAAAATAGTAAATAGTTCCCTGATAACCATGTTGAATTTTTTTTTAAATTTAATCAAGATACTAACCACATTTGCTATCACCTTCCTAGATAAGGTACCATGTCAGTCTCCTTGAACTGCCTCCCTCCCTCCTTCAAGGTTCTCACATTTCCATCTCAGCACAGAGCACTTGCAGTTTCGAATTTCACACTCTTGGGGTACAGAACTTGGAGATTCTGGTGGCCTTGGTCCACAGTTATTTATTGAAACAAGACTCTCCTCAAATCCAGAGGCAAGCTGGACCAAAAGGTGCTCAAGCTATGGCAGAGAAGCCAAGCGGAGTATGCACAGTAGAAGCCTCAGAGCCAAAACCTGTCAGGTTTGTTTAAGGCTTCTGATGTTGGGGGGATGAGCAGCTGGACATGCCCCGTGTGCACTCACAGCCCAGAAATCCATCACCTGGGCTGCAGGTGAGAGGGGGACCCTGCCCCTCTGCTCCACCCTTGAGACACCCCACCTGGAGCACTGCATCCAGCTGGGGCCAGCACTGGAACACCTGCAGCTGTGGGAGCGAGTCCAGAGTCAGCCACCGAGATGATCAGAGGGATGAGGGTGTGAGCAGCTCTGCTGTGAGTACAGGCTGAGGGTTGGGGTTGCTCAACATGGAAAGAGGAAGCTTCAGGAAAACCTTACAGCACCTCCCAGGACATAAAGGGTCCTACAATGTTGCTGTAGAAGGACTTTTTACAGGGGCATGTAGAGACAGGACAGGGGAAATGGCTTTAAACTGAAAGTAGGTAGGTTTAGATTGGATATTGGGAAGAAGTTGTTCCCTGTGAGGGTGCTGAGGCCCTGGCACAGAGTGCCCAGAGCAGCTGTGGCTGCCCCATCCCTGGGAGTGTCCAAGGCCAGGCTGGATGGGGTTTGGGCACTGGGATTGTGGAAGGTGTCCTGTGCCCAGCAGGGCAACTGGAACTACATGATCTTTAAGGTCCTTTACAACCGAAACTATTTTAAAAAACAAAAGGTGGAACTGGCTAAAATCCACCTGGCACTCAGTGCTGCTGCACTCGGGTCCTTCCCCTGTAACCTCACCTCGTGTTAGCCCTGCCAAGTCTCTCCTCAGCAGCACCATCCCCAGACAAGGCGCCGCTATTTATTTTGGTGCGATTGCAGAAATGTATTTGGCTCGGGTGTCTGATAAGCTCCTTCAGGGCTTTTGAAGCTGTTCTTCAGCTTCTCTGTCACTTGTCCTTTCCTCCTCCTCCCTCTGGTGTCCAGTGAGGAAAGTGCTCAGATGCTGTCAGCATCCTTCCTTCAGCCCAACACTTGCATTCAGCCCCGCTGTGCAGGAAGCATCCCTGCGACGCCAAGGCTTGTATCCAAGAGCTGCCGAAAGGATGTTCAGAAGTGATTACTAATCAAGCAGAAAGTAATCAGAAGGAGATGTGCAATATATAGGAAAAGCTCTGCCTGCTCCAAGCTGCTGGTGCACTCCCAACAAGGAGGTCTAATTGTTAAAATGCAAAGGCAGAGTTGCTGAGAACAGCCTGTGATAAATATTTACTGTGAAATGTGTTCAGCTGATGTGCTGCCTTGTGGGAGAGGGCCAATCCTGCTGCTGCCTCTGAGTGAGGGGCACAAGGATGATGAACCCTGATGATTTCAGGAGGGGTGAAACTGAAATGCCCCCTCTGTGTGCTCATGTCTCATCTAAAATCATTTGCAGGATTGGGATAAATACTTCAATACAAACATCACTGAGAATTTGCTTTCCAGAGGCCTCGTAGAAAATTTACCTTTTCTGTGATATGGTTTAACTTTTTTTGTATTTTCTTCTTACTCTCCTCTGTAGGACCAGTCATACTGCTGTTGTTTTCCTTTTTCACCTATATGTGGATAAAACTGGATAAAACTCTAAACCCCTGATATGAGGGGTTCAGAAAGAGTTCAGCCCCCCAACCCCCAGGGTGCAGAGGGTTGGTTGGGCTGACTGGAAAAGCTGCTTTTGCTTAGCAAAATGAAGGGACAGAGGGGACAAAATAATTATTGTCTCTATTAGGCAGGAGAGATAGAAGGTACTTAAATGAAGGAATTGCCTGAACAACTGTGTGTTGTTTGGCTGTGAGTAATTTAAACTGGAAATGAGAAGGGGGTGCCAAGCCATTAGAGCCTGTAAGTCAAACTGGAGGAGGCGTGAAGGCTTTACTGTCTGAAGGTGAAGCTGAGCACGTCCGAAGGGGACAGGACACGGTGCCTGCAACAGCAGAGGAGATGCTTGATAACCCAGCAGGACCATTTGAGAGCTCTGCACCTGAAAGTAAACCAATGCTGCTGCTACAAAATGCAGAATTAAGCATATGTTTTTGTCCCTACACTGGAAATCGTGATTACATACCTTGGTTATTTTAAAGAATTATTGTTAAGGCGGCTTCAAAAGGTACAACTTTATTTTGAATGTTAGTAGCTGAAAAGGTTCTTTTAACCTTGTACCTACCAAGTACATAAAGTACTTTCTAAAAAAAAAAAAAAAATTAAAAGCAAAGAAACAAAGTAATGTTATTTGCCACTTGAAATCCATTAGTCATTGAAGCTTTGCCTATACACTGTAATCAACTGAAATAAGCAATTCTCAAATACCTCTCCATTCTGCACAGACTCTATTCATAACACAAGAAACATTTTGTCACAATAATTTCCCTGCTTCCCAAGGGACTTTTATTCTGGAAGTTGTGCCTGTGTTGGGACAGGTGGGGGGCTGTGTCAGAACAAGTTATTCTACAAAACTACTGTGCTGTATTTTTTAGAATCACTAAGATCTAATATTTTTTTCAGTGAAAACTTTCATTTATTTTATATTTTGTCAATTGCCTCTGATTAAAGAGGATTTTTTCCCCTTTTTTTCCTCTTTTTTTAGGTCAGTCTTCAGGTTAACCAAAATATATGTATTTAGTTTGTGTTCAGTTCCAAGAATTACACTGAGCAGTGTTAGTTCAGGTTTGAACAAACAATTTACCTTCAGAGCTCTCACAGTTAGTGCTTAGTTGCATCTTTATTCACTGGAAGGTCAAAAATAGCATAAACCTTAGCCTGATCTACATAATCCCCTGGAAGATGTGTTCCCACTTTGGTCCAGATCAAAGTAAAGGCACGCAGGTGAAATGTCACTCACATGTCATGTGCAAATCAATGCCATTTCTAATTGCTTTCCTCAGTGCCAAACTCAGATTAAACTGGGAAATGGAAATACAACCTCTGAAAAAAAAAGAAATTAAATATAAAATATATAGATATGCTAAATAGTTTTATAGATATACACAAGAGTGTCAAAACTAAATGTGTTTTATGGGAAGAAGAATCAATGCAACATCTGCTTCTCTAAATGCCCATCAGTGGATTCCTGAGTCTTGCCTCCATGTAAAAGTCCATGGTAAATTCTCTATTTATGGTTCAATGGAATGAAAGGTGCTTGTGGGAAGCAGTGAACTTG